TTGAGACCAGTGCAGTGCGTCATGACACACCCCTTCTAGGGGACAATATGTGGAGAACAACTGCAATGGGTCCCCTGTCCGAGCAACAGCAAGGAAGGTTGTCGACCTCAGGGCACCCCTCGCATCGAGGGGACCACAAAGGACACAGGGACCCATTGAAGAAGCCAATCATGAGCACACCGCCTGGCTCCCTCCCTCCCTCCCCCCCTTCCTCCCCAAGGGTTCCCTCCAGTACCCCCCCTCCCCCCTCCAGCATCCCCGCCCTGCTCTTTCCTAGGTCGCCTCCCCCTCTCCCTGATGGGCCTCCTCCAGACACCTCAGCTTCTCCATCGACCCTGTCTCCATACTGCCCCCTATCTTTTTCGACGTCGCCGCCCTCACTGCCGCCAGGACCCCCACCCCAACCCCCCTCCCCTCCCCAACTCCCGACCCCGCCCCCTCCACGACACGCTAACAGCCGACCAAGCAGGAAGAGGAGTAGTGTGATTGGACCGAAGGATCGGAGTATCACGGGAAGGACACTCAGCTAAGCTTAGTAAGCAGTATGCTGCAGGCAGCAGGTCCCCACTCGAGAGCAGTTGAGGAGAGCCGTATCTACACTCGAGAAACTATTGTGCTGTGGTCTGAGTTCATAACTATGAGCATGTACAGAGGGATACCATGAACAGCTTCCCGGCACATGATGCTCTCCACAAATAAGATTGCAACCATTTAAACCGCCCGTACCTTTCCCAGGCAAGAACAATTTGCCCGCCGGTTAACATGGAGGCCGGCCCCAAGCACGTATGCCGACCAGATACATCCCAAATGCTTGGTGCGCAGGGCTCACAGCCTACATATGGGAAAGGTACTGGCGGTTTAAGAAGGCGAGGCCTTCATTGGGCATGGGCTTGTATCCCAGCAACGATTTTCTAACTTCCAGCAATCTTCTTATTGGTAATATCAGCCTTGTGCACTGGGCCCATTAAAAAAAAAAAAAAAAAAAAAAATCTTCTTATTGGTAATATCAGCCTTGGGCACTAGTAGTCGAAGTATCGACACCAACGTAATCATCAACAATAAGTCACCTCAGCATCCATCGTTAGTATTGTCACAATCAAAGCAACCAGTGCTCGCAAAGGGATGCAAAAGAGAGAGAGAGAGAGAGAGAGAGAGAGAGAGAGAGAGAGAGAGAGAGAGAGAGAGAGAGAGAGAGAGAGAGAGAGAGAGAGAGAAATAAGAAAAGCAGAAGTAGGGAAGACACAGGATATCATCCCGAACGCGGCGATAAAAAATTATACCATGAAGCACAGTAACTATCGGAAGTGGCCCGACTAGTTTCGGCTGGCCGCTCCCAGAGAGGCCTTAAGTCGCAGAGATAATGATTAGCAATAGACGCTCCTATTTATATCCTGTTAACATCTGAAAAGACACAGAGTCCCTACTGCAACCAGGCAAAACTGTCAACCACAAGTCACTAATTCGAAACAGCCGACCTTCAGAAAGGGCACAGAAAGAGGTCCCAAGATCGAAACACAACAACAACAACTAAACAACAAATAGTCTACGTCCGGTATCACAAATCGAATTGAGGCGGTAAAGGGAACCAGGCCGCACATCCAGAACCTCACAGTAGGGGACCCAAAATAACCCTTGGTCCCGTTATCAAACCACGTCCACCATTGGAAAAAACAAATCAGCAACGTCTGCAGCATGGGCCGCGTCAAGTAACTCGAAACGGCAAAGGTCCAAAGACCCTTCACCGTTGACCTCCGCAACAAGTGTCACCACAACACTCAACTCATCAGATGAAAAAACGTTTCCAATTGGTCAGCATAAGAATCCAGTGATCCCAACAGCCACCTTTCTTGCGTGAAAATTTCACCAAAGCTGTGTCAAAGTAGTGATCTGGATAGCCTCGTTTCCATAGCTCGCATTTCAAAGTAGACAAAAAGGAGAGTTCAGCAGTGGGCAAGGTAGTAAAGGTATAACATCGATGAAGGAAAGACCCAATGACTGCCAACTTCTGAAGCCGACTCGAATAGGAAGAGAAGTCCTGAATACTATGAAAAACTAATGGCTCACACCCCCCCACTCTCTGATTCTTATGGGACGCAACTTAGGTAATCCTGGCAGGCTTCTCAAAAACTCTCACCTCGCAACCAATAAAATCCCAACTAAGTCCATCGTTGGTCTGTTCTAACACCAGATTGTCATCGTAACAATTCCAAAACCGATCAAGAAGATACACAACTTTACTCCGTGATTCCTCACAATTCAACCGATACTTAATGAAAACTGAAACATTGTCAACAATGCGAAATCCACAGATCAGCTTCCGATCAACTCCCAGGGACGAAAGAAATGTAAACTCATTGAATGCACAAAGTAAGCATGCAAGCGCTGGGCTGGTACATTTTCCCATTGGAATCCCCACAGTCTGCCTAAGCATCTTGCCAGCAACGAAAAAAACGGTATTACTTAACTCGAAAGCAATAAAAGCCCGGATCATGTGAAAGCTAGCCAACGTAACTCGAAAGCAATAAAAACCCGGATCATGTGAAAGCTAGCCAACGTCCAACCAGTCTCGCACTTGCCTCTAGCAAGCCTCACTTGTTTTCCGCGTAAGCAAATCATGACACCAACAAAGCCTTCACTCATCCAAAAATCAGTTACTCATTCAAGTGCGTGTAAGATCGATACATGTGAGAGATTCGAAAACATCTCCTTCACATCAAACGAGCCACCAACCAACCCATCTCCATTCTTCAAAATTAATGAGAGTTGACTAACCGAATGATCTGAGCAAAATCGGAAGTGCAACGAAGATTGAAATGCGAATGAGAGGGAAGTTTCTACAGCAACAAGTTCACTGCACGTGCCACGCACGCGCTACATAAAGCACTACCTTCTTGAAATGACGGGCAGATAGGGCGCCAGCGGGTCAAATCCTTATGCAATGAGCAGACCCGTGTTACACCCTTATTCCATCGGCCAATCAAGCCAAAATTTCCATCGACAAACAACCGCCGACAATTTTCCACCATTTCATACTTCGAACTAGCAGGAGGAGTAACAAAGGAAGGATTCTCAAGAAAGAGTTTCTTCATTCCCAAACCAGAGGGCAGCATACGAACGTGTCTCCGACATTGTGATCAATTGGTGTACAAACCAATTGACTCAATCGCACCTCGCGGTCAACCACCTCATCAATACCACAGAAATGATCAAACTGAGCAGACCAACTCCGAGTCAAACAACCGCCCAGAGCAGAAAGCGGGACAAAGTCGCCATCCAAAGAAGAGAGAGCAGGAAAAGATTTAAGAGCAATCATAATTTCCTTCTTCAAGCAGGTCAAAGGATAACGAGTAGAGGGAAAAATAATATTCTCAGAATTAGATATAAAAGTAGGAAAAAGAGACATAAAACTCATACGAAAACTAACATGGCCGTCGACCCTAGAGTATCCCGGTTCAGCATCCCTGCAACAACATACGAAATCATCTCGGCGTGAGATCCGACGAAAATTATGAATGACATCACCAGCTGTTCTGTTCCTATACCATACGACCCTCATTCGTCTGACGATCATGTGTTTCCAGGCCGAATCGATGGGTAAGCTTTCCACCAGACTAGGACATAATGTACGAATCCCTGCCTTGCACAACCGATCATCATAGGTAATGCGAACAACCAGGCTTGACGTACTGGAATACCGAAGGAAGACTGGATAGCATTAGATAAGATTAGACGTAGCCGACTACTCATACGCTTCTCGTGAAAAGATCGAACTGCAGAATAGGCGAAGATGAGCTGTCGGAAATCCCAAGAACGCAACTCGATACGACAACGCGGATGACTCAAGAAACGAGTAAGACGAGGTTTGAAGGACAAGGACTTCTGGCAGTAAGGAACGACAAATTCAAAAAACAGAACAACACATCCTTCAACCATCCACGAGACGATCTCAACAGATCACGACCAAAACAACAGCGAAGGACTGAAGAACCATAGCATCTTCTAACAACCTTCCAGTTATCCAAAAGAAGGCAGCTACCCTTGCAGGCAACAACAACCTGAGGAATGCAATTATCTCTGCAGTCATTTAGAGCTTTCAACAAGCTACACGAAACAACACCAACGGAAGAATGAAAAGTCAACACCGATCGTCCCCTCTCGGGAACCGATCGAGATCTGCTGCTACAGGACAGGGAAACCTTCTTCTTCCATGCGTTGAATCTCTCCCTCTTCCCCAGTCTACGACGTCGAGTACGTTTAGGTTTGTCACAGGAATTCAAAGAAGAGGAAAACTAGCGAATAAAAAAACGTTCTACAGACAAAAGATCCTCGCTGGAGCACAGGCACAGAGGAAGTGCAACGTACTGATGTGCACCGGACCTCCGCATACAATGATAAAGAACTTCATTACGTCTACCACTCGATACCACATCCTGACTGCAAGTACGATAGACATGCTCGTTCCATCGGACAGACAAATCCCGAGACGTGCTGCCCACATACACATGATGGCACCAGGGAGAAACCAAAATGTAAACAACAGGACCTCAAATTTCATCAAACGACCCACCTCCTTGCCACCACTGCGAAAGGAAAGGACGAAATTTAGAAGCCCAAGGAATAAGATTCAACAAAATGAGAATAACGACTGTCGACCGCAACAGAGCTTCTAGTCGCCTATCCCGGAGTAATCGAGGAGAGATAAGGCGCAACAAAGAACAGGAACGTGCAAGAGACCAAAGGTTAGCCACGTTCGGGAGGGATCCTAAGAAATGTCGGAATCCCTCCAATCATTCGCGTCGGTATCATCAGAAGGATCGCCTGCCAAGTCGTCGGATACTTCAAACACAGCCTTACCCTTGGGATCTCCAAATGCTAGGTCAACACGTTTGGCAATGATATCGTCAATGGTCTGTTGCAGAGTAGAATATTTAACACCCTCCTTGGCACAGATCTCCATCACATCATCCTTCTTGAGATTACGAAATTCTCTTTTCGCTTCCTTAATAAAACCTTCTTTATCAGTCCCTGGCACCAGCAGGGCCAGGCGCAGACTTCTTCCTTCCTCTCACAGACTTCAAGGTAGAAACACCACCCGCTTCTTCCATCTTCTCACGTAAGTTAGAGCGCGGAGTTTGCTGAATCTTTTCAGCCTCCATACGTGCGATGACTTCCTTCGCCGTCGCCAGCTGCTGTTCGGCCTCACATCATTGATTCAACTCCTGAAGCCGGAGTTCCTTGAGGGAGTTGACTTCAAGTCGATGCAACTGCACCAACTCGGCAGGATCACCGGCAGGCTTGACCGCAGACTTCATGGGAGTGGTCAACGGCTGACTTCTCAGTTTTGGATCCGGCGTCATCGCAGTGCAACTCCTTTTTATGCCAGGTCTTAATGCTTCCTTCTTCCACGTCTCGACTTCGGCAATTGCCTCATCATGCTTACTTCGTAGAGCTTTGATTTCGTCCTCCATCATCTGCACTCGTCGCGACGTATCAGCCGCCTGCCCCATTTTCACCTTCATCTGCTCGTGTTCTTGTAACAAACGAGCAATCAATTCGTCATTACTGATGGAAGTATTTCCACAGTTATTGACGGCTGCACCAGAACCGCTCGCCCGAAGCCGTAAGTTCTCTACCTCTTTCTTCAAAGCGGTAATCGCATCGTTAGAATCAGTCAATTTCCTACCTGCCATCGCCTCATACATACGGTCCATCTTCGCATTCATGGTAGCATTCAATTCAGCATGGAAATCTTCACGGTCTTTCTTATCTTTCACTGTCTTCTCTTCTTCCTCCCTTTCACGTTTTTCTGGTTCTGCTTCTGCTCTCTGTGCGTTTAACTTTTCCATCTCAGCGTCATACCATGCTTTCATAAGTGAAACAGTGTGTTCCAGAGCAACAACTCTCTGGTTGGTATTAAACCAGCCACTACCTCTCCCACCCTGTTGATTACTACCCACAGCAGTCGAACTACCTTCTTCCCCCGAATACAACGTACGGTCATTATAGCTGTATTTGAGGCACCTTTCAGTCTAGATACAGCTATAATGACCGTACGTTGTATTCGGGGGAGGAAGGTAGCAGCACCATTAGGAGGTGGAGGAGGAAGAGGGAGGGGAGGGGGAGGAGGAAGAGCAGGGGCAGGAAGCGGAATAATGGGCTGACCAGAAATGTACCAGAAATGTTATTGTTATTATTGACGACAGTTGGACGATTGGGACACCAGCGAGCGAAATGGTTCGGATCCCCACAGTTGTAGCAAGTCCTAACAGAGGGCGCCGGGTTAGCCATTCTGATGATCGCGTACAGTATAACGAAGCCACACGTACACGTAGTACAACCCCTACGGGGAAAGTGTGCGCTGCTGTGGTGGGGGGGGGGGGGGGGGGGGGGGGGGGGGGGGGGGGGGAGTTTTTCGTCGGAGTGAGTGAGTGCTCACCACTAAAATCAGGGTGCGGTGAGCAGTGCACCGAGGGGCCGAGGCCCAAATTGCTGAAGCAGGTCATCAAGACTTACATTAAGAGCTACAGCTATGGGAGACGAAGGGAAGCTTCCCCCATGAGCTACTACAGCTTGGAGGAAGAAAATCTGGCAAAAGACATGTGGAGGGGTGAGAACACAATTAAAATAAAATAGAACGAAAGGAGTTAGGTCCCTGATCAAAGAAAAAAGAATTCGGTGAGCACGTGTGTGAAACACACGCAAAGTTAACCTGCACACTTGGTTGCTCAGGGCCGCAGTGGCCTACTAGGGGAGTGTCAGTAGGACAGGACCCAGACCCAGGAGGTCAGGCCCGCTGGGCCGTGTTAGTCCCAGCCCTAGCAGATTTCTAGCAGATTGTGGCTAACAGATAAAGGAAAAGCAAGTGTGTTGCCTACAAAGTTTCGCTAACAAATCCCAACTTCAGTGCGAAGGAAGCAACTGGTTATCTGGTAAAGGTGATACTCTTTTTTTTTTTTTTTTTTTTTTTAATTGTTAAGTTGTGATTTTTGGAAAGTTGATAAAGATAACTTTCCGCAGGCAAGTGCCTGTAAGCTAAGCTGGCTGATGCTGTCAGTAGCCCGGGGCTAGGTCCCACTTGCACGAACGAATTAAGAGATCCTGACCGTAGATAGCAAAGATCTATGGCCCATATCTCCTAATTTGCACAAGTGGGACCTTGCCCCCGGTAGAATTGTGAGGTCCACAGCCTCGAATGTTGCCTTTTATAACGGATTAAGGGCCAGATCCCACTAGCCACTATTGTTCATTTCTGACCGTTGATCTTCGTAATCGAGGGTCAAAAATGAATAATCCAGGGTAGTGGGATCTGACCCTAAGCCGCTTGTTTAATTTAAATAATAATAATAATAATAATAATAATAACAATAATAATAATAATAAATAAATAAAAAACGCAAAGCTGAGGTGATGACTTGCCAGTCGTAGATACTAGCCATTCCGGCCATTGCCAAGCAGGTCGAGAGTGTAATGTTGTAATGAATCGGGACGCTGGCCCGGGCAGGTGCAGTTCCTCATCAATAGTAACGACCCATTCAAAAAGGCAAAGGGCCTCGCAGCACTGGACGAATCTGAACATGGAATTAGTTGGCCTACTATATAATGAAGGTGAAAAAAAAAAAAAAAAAAAAAGGTGGCATTCGGCGAGTGGTGCGGTCAGGCCCAAAGCCTTCTCTTTTCCTTTTTCTTTTTCTTTTTTGAAGTTTTTCCTTTTTTTTTATAAAAAAAAAGAGAGGATAGAGGCTTTACAAATGATATTTCTTTAGGGGGAAGGTCAAGACAAAGCTCTGAAGGATTCCAAAAACAAAAAGGCCCAAGCCTACGTATTGAACGCCCTGGGGCGAGGTCCCACTAGCAAAGAGGATGGGATTGAAACACCTGACTCTGGACTTGTTTGTGGAAAGGTGCAGAATGTCGAGACTGAACTGCTTTTCCGCATCGATATTTATCCAACCCTCTTTGCTAGCGGGAACTCACCCCTGGGGTGAAGTCCCACCGCCCAAGTTTAAGTTTAGAAAACGTAACGTGTGACACCATTTTGACATTAATAAATTCGAAACAAGAAATTAAAAAACTGAAAAAAATCGCTAGAAACAGCTTTTCTCCTTATTTTTTATTGGGATAATTTTCAATATACCCCCATAAGTTGACATATATGCCAAAATGCCCCTAAAAGATGTGCGTAGAGTGGAATGCCCCTCTGATAAAATCAATATTTTGTGAAATACCCCTGGTGTAGGTTGGACCCCCATCTTTGCAATATACCCCTACCGGGTACCATCCAACTTTGCAAAATGCCCCACCACTTGACAACTTTTCCTAGGCGCTTTTGCAAAAGGCCAAGGCCCAAATGGGGAGGTCCAGATTGCAAAGTTGCACACCCGCCTGACAGGGGCACAACACAAAGATTTCGGCCCAGAAGGGCATTCCGCTCTACCCACATCTTTCAGGGGCATCTTGACATATATCTCAACTTATGGTGGTATTTTGCAAATTATCCCTTTTTTATTAAGTAACTCGGAGAAATGAAACACGTCTGGCACAATCGGAGTGAATGTCTCCGGGGAAAAGGGAACTTACCGTGGTGAGGGGACAGGAGGTCACCATTCGTAAAATGGACAGGGACAGCATGGATGGCCAGATGCGTTCATTGCCCAAAGAAGGAAGAGAGTTTGATGGGAGAGAGCCAAACAGAGCTGTCAGAGCTCCTCCTTTTTAGGGTGTAATGATGTCTTTTAAAAAAAAAAAATGAAAGGCAAATAAGTTGAGAAATGTACCCTACCCTCTGTAGGGTAGTTTTCTCAACGGAAAATGGTTTCCAACTGTAAGCCCTCACCTGGTAGCACCACATCTTCTTCAGGGTGGTTTCAACCACTGTGAAAAAGAGAGTTTGCGATCCATAGAGACTGAGACAAAGCTACCCCTGTTCGCCCACGTCCGCATAAACCACCGGAAGCCTTTTCTCTTACTTTTGTAGGTGCCTTGCCAGTCAGCCATGATTGTCCGCCGGATATTGTTTATTATCTGGTGTCGTTGTTCTTGGAATACAACCTTTTTATTCTTGAATACCTGCGAATTCCTGGCCCTCCATATTTCTTGTAGTATAATTCCTCTACATGCTAGGGCCACGTATCCCCAGCCACAGTGATAGTTCCCTTCCTTGTTTGGCAGGATCCCATACGACGTCCATTCGTCAGTCCAAGTCCAGGAGGAAGCGGTTACCTTCTCCCATGTCTCCACCCACCACATCCACACTTCATCAGCTAGCGGACACATGAGCCAAGCTAGCGGAACTGCAGAGAGAGCCTGTTGAAGATGTGTCTGTGGGAACTAAGTATAGAGTCGCATTAGACTCGAGAGGTACTGGTGGGATATGATTGGGGAAAAAAAAAAAAAAAAAAGAAAGAAAATGGTTTCCTGCCCAAACGGAAAGGCCCAAAGCATACGACCAAACGGATTTCACGTCAACGAAAAAATGTACAAAACGACCAAATCTAATAGGTTATTCTCCTGTATTTCGGTACCCTTAGATTCTCAATACATCAACGGCAGAGCTCCGTCCCACCATGCCACACGTGATAGAAAGCTCAGCGTTGAGAAAACTCAACTTCGGCGGTGGGACTTCACCCCTGCTGTCATTATTAATGTGTCTGGACTGAAAGTTGTAAGGTACCCCACATACAGTACAGCTACAACGACAGGGTGTTTTTATCTAGGGTAAAAAGCTAAGTGTTTTGGGCCCAAGAGCCTCAAATCAGCCAAAAGGCCTCAAATCAGCTGAAAGGACAACTGCAGTATGCTGCTGGTGTCAATACTTCTCCCCC